TATATTTCAATAACTCCACTATGACTGCATTATTAATGTGGGTACAGATATAGAAATGCTAAAAAAAAATTAAAAAAAAAACACTAATGCCAAGTTGTTCTTATTAATTTCTTCCTAGTGAAAATCTAAGAGAATGTATTTACAGAATTATTAACGTTGCATAAAATTTTTCTGGAATTCCAAAGTCCTTATGACTGCCAAACAGTTACTGTAAACATTTAAATTACTACTTTTTTAAAGATTATTTTTATTTTATGTGTAATAACGTTTTCCTTGTATATATGTCTACTACACGTGTCCAGTGCCCTTAGAAGCCAGAAGAGGGCGTCAGATTCCTGGAACTGGAGTTACAGAAAGGTTTAAGATGCCCTGTGGATCCTGGAAACCGCACCGGGTCCTCAGCAAGAACAACCAGTGCTTCAAATTATTTAATTGTTATACCTCTTTTGAATGTATGGGAGCCTGACAATATTTTTCCTTGTGACTTGGAATTTTTTTCTCTATATAAAACCTAAAACCAAGGGAAAATACTCATATTTCTAGCATTTTTTGAAAACCCATGCCAAAGGGCCATTTTATATATGTTATGAGTAAAATAAAACTAGTCTTATGTTTCTTTTAAATTAAGGGAAGTTAGTCTTGGGAGGGGATGAGGGTATAACTCAGTGGGAAAGTTCCTCCCTAGCATGTAAAAGGCCCTGGGTAAAATCCCCAACACCTTACAAATAATGTTAGTGTGAGTGTGTGTGTGTGTGGGGGGGGGTGTATGTGTGCTGAAACACAAGTACATGCATACCCTGGGGGTAGAATACAGCTCCTCAAGCATGCTAGGTAAGCACGTCACTGTTGCGCTGCATCTCTTGTCCCTTTATTGCTAAAATGTTTAAGCCTGGTTTTGTGTGTGTGTGTGTGATTGAATATATTTAGAGACTAAAATATATGATATAATCCTCTTGAGCTTCCAGTTACCTGACTAATTCTCCAAGAATCCGAGTGTTCACACATAAATTACATATATGTAAGGATATAAGGTATTTCTATGTGTTGTGCATGTGTACTGAACATGAGTGTATATGTGTATATATGTGAACAGCTGTTTCTGTTTTTCTATTATGAATTTTCATTGCTTAAGGCACTATAGTTCCAGGGACACTAAAGAATGAGATGGACATATCAATGTTAAAACATATTTGCGAATTGTGTAAATACCATGTTCATTGTAGAAAATGAAGAAGAAAGAATACAAAAGAAAATATCTAAAATCCATTGACTAGAGGTGTCTAATATTAATATCTGAAATAACATTTTACCTTTCATAATTGAATGTTCATGTGCTAGTTTCTAGTCCTTACAAAATGTGTTTGACTTCTGCTATCATAAAGTAGAGGAAATAACTCAACTCTTTTAATAGTGACACAGAGACCATAGATGCATATTGAACACGTTGCTTGGGACTGTGAACAAATCAGAAAATGGAAACTTCTTTAGAAGTATGTGTATTTAGGAACATGTAACACTGAAAGATGTTTGGAATGGGAGTACAGGAAAGGGAAAGACAGTATTTTCAGTATGTTACCATAGACATACTCTATGTTCAGGCTTTATCAGGAGAGAAGGGTAGACAAGGTCTAAAACATGATACACCAGACTACACAACTACTCTTCCTTTCATGAACTGAGTACATCTGAAGACTTTGAACCATTTTATCCTGTTCAAAGCAACAACTTAGAATGAAAGGGTTATTTCTTGAAGAAGGAAAAATAAAACCCAGTAAATAAAATTTAAAACCAAAGACTTCTTTTCAGTGTGTTCTCCTTCTATTTCAAAGCGAGAACAATATAATCTGTGAGAAGAGTAAGAGCAATTTTGACATTAATTATATAAGACACTACCAGGGCTGAAGGCATAACAAATGAAATGGATCACTCCATAGGTAAAAGGAAAATCTGCAGCCTAGGAATTTAGTGTATCATTTTCAGAAACAGCATAATTTGTTCAAAAACTGTCATTTATGTAATTAATCCATCCTTAGGTATAACCATAAAGTTGGTGCATTTATAACATGTATAATAATATATACATCTATTTTATATATATATATATATCACCAATATGGACAGACTTTACTGAGAGAATAATACCAAGGAGATCAAGGAACTTACAACCACCTTGGTCAATTGATAACATACTCCAAACATTTGTGCACTATTGATGATTGCCTCTATGTACCTGAATTCAATTCAATGTTTTGAGAAATGTGAGTTAATCTCATCTATCATGGGAGGCAAATTGCTAGCATGGGACATGGGTAAGACATAGACGTGTAGTCCCTCAATAAATGGAAGATGTTATTTGATGAGCAAACATTCAAATAAAGAAATACTTTATTGCAACAACAACCACCACCACAAAATGACCTTGGAAATATTCACTCTGAAAGCTGAAAAACAAATGTCAACCCTTAGTTCTTTTGTAGGATGTTTGTTACTATGCTAGGAAGAAACAGAATTTCTCAGGGATTTAGAATAGAATACACAGTTATATAGCTGCATTTTATTATATGCAAATAGCACCTCAATAAAGTTGATTTAATAAAAGAAAGTTTACAATACATATGATGTAAAATTCCCTGCAACTATAAAATGCCATTGCCTTCCAAATATGGAATGATTAGTCCAAGGTTATAAGCTATATACCAGATTACAAAATAAAATAGAAACTATTCAAACTACTGAGAAAACACTAAAATATTATTACATGTGTATATGGTTCTGACAAAAAATGAAAATATCTATGCAAAAATCTATATAATGAGTCTATAATTAGTTTGTCAATCATGTTTGTAATGTCTCATTACAGAATAAAAGTGATAGAAAAGAATATGTAATCACATAGAAATATGGTCACAATATGTTACTTTTACATAAAAAATAGATTCTTAACAGTGAATCACTCATTTAAAAATAAGAAGTGTGTGCGTATTTGTTGTCTGATGGGGATAAAACAACAGGCTTCAGAGGTAGTATTGAAGTGTTCTACTACTAAGCTACATGTCCAGACTAATGAACTTGTTTTAAGAAGGAAAATTTGAAGGCACTAACTAACTAGCCTATTAAACAGTTAATTCTAAGAAGCAATTAATAAATGATTTGGGATTTTTAAAGCTTATCTGTATTTTTAAACTTTAAAAGACCAGCATGTTAATTCTATAATAGTTTTTTTTTCAAGTAAATTACAATAATACAACTGGAGATCATGAAGACTAGAGTTATAAGTGTGCTCTGTAAACTACATGTGACATTCAGGTTTTCTACAAGTGGTACAAAAATAATCCAAAATTAGAAGCTGAGATCAGTTATGTGCCTGAAAATGAAGTGCTTAAAGATTAACTGATCTTAATTGCATTTATTTATTTTTAATTTCTAAACAGCTACACTGAAATGACATATTACTTGAAATTTTTTAGATATGTCTGGTGAGTAGAATTACAGCTGCCTTTTTTTTTCTTGTCATGCTTTTTACTTGCATTTTCCAGACTTTCTGGAAGAAATCATCACTTATAATTTTTTAAAAAAGGTCTTTTTTTGAGACAGGGTCTCATTAACTAGTTCTAGCTGGCCTGGAACTCACTATGTAGACTAGGCTGGCTTTTACTACACAGAGATCTGTCTGCCTCTGAGTGCTAGGCTTAAAAGATGTGCTCCACCAAGCTCAGCAAAATCCTTTTTTAAAGGTTGTTTTGTAGTTTTATTTTGTAGCTAATGAGTCCTCCTGTGTTTCTTAATGCCTCTCGACCTGTAGTTCATCATCCAACGAGAACGATGGCAGACAATTCATAGATGTGACTCTCCCATGCCACACCCATACAACCCTGCTTGCCTATACACAGTTTGTGTGTGAAAAAGTGTGTAAAACACTCTTGATTCCCATGGGCTTCATCACATTCACTTCATTATTATACTTTGTAGGCTTTTTGTTTGCTTGATTTATTTACTAAGACAAGAGGTCTCACTGTGTTTCCTTGGCTAGCCTGGAACATACAGTGTAGCCCAGGCTGGCCTCCAGCTCAGTTTCCTGCCTATCCGCCTTCCAAGTGCTGGAATAAAAGGTATGCACCAACCACTATACCCAGTATACAGTATACATTAACTTTACACTTTATGAATTATTAGTTTATAATTTCAAATAAATTCACACATAAAAGAATGCATAACTAAGTAAAACAGTAACTAAAAAGCTAGCCACATCAGAGAATTCAGATTAATCCCCAAAACAATCCAAATTAGGGCAGAAGAGAAGGTTCAGCATATATGAGCACTGCCTGCTTTTGCAGAGGACCCTGTTTTTATTCCCAGCACCCACAAGGTGGCTCACAAATGTTTGTAACTTCAGTTTCAGATCAGATGACCACTTTTCGTCTGTTCTAGTAACATCGTATATAGAGATATATTAAGGGAAAAACACCCATACATGCAAAATAAATAGTAATAATACAAAATCTTTTAAAAATTCCAAATTATAAAGTGATAAAAACCTGTCTGGCTTTCACATAAACACCCACAAATCAATGTAGAAAAAGCATTTAAGTGATCAGACTGGTGACCTGATAAATCATTGGCATTCTGAGCTCTGGAAAAGGGGCAGAAAATCATTTTACACAACATCTGTGCCTTAGCAAAAGTTATCCCTTGGGTTTCACAAGGAAGAAATCAACAAAAGAAACTTGAACAGTTCTCTTTATGGTGCAGTAAATAAAATCATATAGACCTTTAGGTATACTGAAATTTCAAGAAACAGTGAAACTGTCAAGTTCTTTTTTTTTTTTCAGATGAGAATGTCTTCCTGTCAACTATAAAGAGAAGAGTGCAGCTGCTCACCCTTGAAGCAGCTGATATATTCACAACCCTGATATATTCACAAAACAAATGGCTGACATCCTACAAATCAGACTTCAAGTCAGCTGACATTTAACCTGAAGGAAACATAGCCATGTCCTTACCTAAAGACTGGTAGAGCTCTGTCATTTTGGGATGGTCCCAACAAGTTGTTTGGGTCTCGTGGCTAAAACACAAAAGATAAAGACAGACTTTAGAACCTACAGTGATCAACAGCAAAGACAAATCGTTTGATCAACAGCAAAGACAAATCGTTTTTCTTCTCATGGCTACTTCTAAGGACTTTCACAGAGTCATACAGACTATATTGCAAGCTAAAATGGCTCCTTTGTTTTCCAAGGGAAAAGCAATACTAACTCGATTCGTTCTAGAATTTGTTACTTTTTCACGCCCACACATTGAATCACTACTCTTTTTGACAAAATTGACATTGACCTTGTTATATAATCAGTAAGCAAAGGTCAGGATTGCCTCAGTTCTACACTGTGAAACATAGAGAAAGGAAAATGACAGTTGTCATTCAGGTGTGTCAGTTACATAATTACAAATCACCTAGTTCCTCATGTGTTTCCTTGGCCCCTGTTCTATTATTCTTTCTTTTCCACAGCCACACTTCATATTTGTGAGCAGTTTAAGGCATATCCAGAACCCCACTAATATATGTCATCATCCTTCCTCCCTCCCACTACTGTTAGAATGTTTTTTAAACTCACTACTCTGTATACCAGCCCGCTTCTTCATACATGTTCTTAGACCTGAATGAAATATTCACAATTCTCCATTTCTTCAAGTGTGGTGGCCTGCTATTAGCTCCTGCCCCAAAAGGAACAAAACACCTTTGTTCCTCATTCAATCACATGAACAAACCCAGGAGAGATAACTACATATACTTTTCCTTACTTGGGCCCATCTACCTCAATCACCATAGCATCATATTTCCTGTTTTCAGAGATTACATGCTGAGCTTTTATAGAATAAAATGCAGCTTGGAACAATATTTCAGCATTTATATGCTGAACCTATTGATAATCTTTTTTTAATGGGAAATGTGGAGACCCAGGAGGGGAGAAAGAGCTTAAATATGGGCATGTCAATGGGACCAGAAAGTAGAGAGGCCCACACACACAAAAAAGAGGGATTTGGGGAAGCAATAATGTCAAATGGACTCAACATAGATTTGTAATTTTAGGGCTTTACAGTCCAGAGGTGGTGTAATTTGATGCAAGTGTACTCACCTGGTAAAACGGCAAAGGATTAAGTGACATTGAGAACTGATGCATCTGAATTCAGAGTCATTTTGCTATCATGTGTTCCCCAAGTTACCATCCATTACAATATAGACGTGGAAGGTTATGAATGATACTTCCCAAGGGGAAAAACTATACCCACCATGTATTTGGTTAAAAAGAAGTCAAAAGGAGGAAACATTTCAAGTAGTTTGATAAATATAATCATAAATATCAGAGACATATGAAAATTGGCAAACTGGTACCACCTCAAAGACCATTCTCCCTGTGATATTTACAGTTCAGTAATTGAGCTGAGGAGGCTACTCAAATCAATTTGCAAGAAAATGCTTGTAAATGGCTGTCTCACAATCAAATTTGTTCATTTATGTTTTGCTTTTCTGCAGAGAAAATTCACATTTGAAAAGTGTCAATCAGGATCACCAGCTGAGCGAGTATCAAGGAATGACATGGAAGTCATGGGGAATAAGGAGAGAACACAGCCACTTTAGGAAGGTTTGGGAAAGACCATGACCAAGCTGGTTTATAATGTACAGAAGGGGTGGGTGGGACTAGTACTTTATATGCACAGTAAAAGGAGGCTGCAGCTTGCAGCTTCATGGAAAAAGTGTTGCTTGTTCTCGAGTGATTTGTAGCTCAAAAAGTGACTGTGCCCTCCAATTCCATAAACAAGGGCTCCATCCTGAATTCTAGCTTCCTCCCTTTCCAAAGCCCATCTAGATGTGAGAACCAGTAAGAGAAAGGGGGAGGGGAGATAGACATGTCCACCCATATGGCCCTTATTAGACACACAGTGCCATAGCTACATCCCATCTCCAGGACATTGCGTCAACTATAACATCTTTAACAGATCTGCAGGAAACTGTTTGGCTAAGCTGATAAACCTGGCCAGGCAGCAGGGACACACAACCACTCTGAAAAGCATCCATCTGAAACTGATTCAAATAAGAGAATCAGAGCGATGAAATAAAGTTGAAACAAAATTTTCAAAGGAATGAGAAATGTGCATACAATTTCCAGCAGAATTACACAGAAAGCCACTGGGAACTTGATGTAGTTCCCCATGCCCCATGTCCAAAAGACAAAACAAAACACAGAAAGAAAACTCGTGTTTATCAACATACCAACATTTCTAGCCTTTTAATCACAGTTATTGGGCAGATTAAAAATGATGACATAGGTATTAGAAATTATAGTTTAATTCATCGGTCCTCAACAAAATCAGCATTTCCACTGTGAGATAACAGAAGAAGCTGCCAGCCCATGGCACCCTTTTCCCTGACTTGTTTGATACATGTTATTCTCCCAATTATCTTGGATTCAAGGGTATTTGAATAAAGTGGGTAAAAGAATACTCAAATAATTCCCAGAATCAACCTTCTCTTATCTTCCTCTCCTTTGACTCACACACCTCTCCTTTTCAAGCAGTACAAAGTAACCAGAAAAGCAGACTTAGATTTCACCTTTGCAGTCTTAGCTTCACTTCCCTGCAAAGCAGCACTAAGAGAAGGAAGTGGAAAGAAGAGAAGAATAAAGGGTGTGCCTGATCCTTGAAATTAGAAAGATTATCTTTTCATCATTTAACTCTAAGATGCTTGGCAAAACAGGCGAATGAACATCAAATTGGAGGATAAGAACCAAATAGTCCACTTCACTCCATGTGGGAATGGTTGTACCTGGAGTGAAATCAAAGCCCTACAGGAGCACACTAAACCTCTCAAAAGACAGGAAGACAGTGAGAAGCACAGATGTACCTAGCTCGCATCTATCTATAGTCTGTCTTGAAGGGTACACTGATTGGCGGGGAGAGAGACATGATCAGTTTGTATTTTACAATCGCATTTGTTACTCTGTGACTGTCTCCAAAAAAATAATACTGAAAATTTTCATCTACTTGAATATATACAGATACTATAGAAAAATAGGCTGCATACTTTACACATTGGGAATACACTTTCCATATAGTTCACAAGTTACTGGGTACATCATTGTTCAGCCTTCCTGAGAACAATGATGTTCAATATAGACTACAAGTCTTTACGTACATTAACACTGTCACTGACTACACAGACAATCCTGAAAACCTTCAAATCTTTAAAACATGCTATTGATTCTGGTCCCACCGATTCCAAAGCCTGGCATCAGCTACACCTCTCTGAGTAATCTCCCAACTGAGGTCCACCCCCTCCTTTATGTGTGAAAACCACAAATAATCTCTCTTTTCTTTTTATTTGTTACCATGATATAAATTAAAATAGTAAATCACTGGCTGTCACAAAAGATCCTAACAACACGTACTTGTCAATAATCAGAAATTAAAGCATTACTATACTGAGCACGGGGTTGACCTAATTTCCTACCATAGAATTTAAATTTCCTTTCACCTTTTTTAGTTTCAAGTAGTGTGCAAGGTTATTATAACTGCCTCAGAGCTGTTCCTGCTGTCAGTGCTACAATAATCAGACTTATTGGAATTGCTTTTGTAGTTTCTTAAAAACAAACATTAGGCACATAAAAGTAGCAAATATCTAAAGCATTCACTGAGGAAGTGGCAGTTGCCTAATTAAAGGAAGATTTCTTTTTGCAACCACTGTTATATGGTACTGAAAATATATATTCTTTCCACTATTTCCCAGGGCTGAACTAATCACTATGCACCAATGTAAAAAAACAAGTAGCCTTCTCTTGCGTTTTACAAGGAATTAGGGTATAGTTTCATATATGATCTGGAGCACACATACACGCACACACACACACAAACACATGCACACACACACAGACAGATTTCCATTTAATCTGGGAATCAGACTCTTTCTAGAGGAACCTTGGCATTTGCATGCTGAATTGTTGAACTTGGCTAGTACTGCTGGAATACTGGCAGGGTGGGGATGGGAAAATATATTTAGAAGTTTCTGCTACTGTGGGGAAGGGACTTCAGTGGCTATGTGTCAATCTTAGCATCAGCAATCCGATTCTTGTTCCCATTTCTTGTTCTCAGAGATAGTTAACATTTCATTCTATTTGGGTGAACTCAGGGCAAAGATGATGGCCTTGGTGGCTGTTCCAGCTGTTACTTGTCCTCACAGTTCTATTTGTTTTTCAAGGCTTACCTCCCACCCACCCTCAACTTTGGCCAAGGCAATTTCGTTTCAGGGTCATGTCCAATGCATGATCAAACAATGAGGACGGAAAGCAATTCCACAGTGCTCAAGGGTCAGAAACCTTTCATATAGCCATGTTGTTTCCTTTGCCCCTCTCGCTTCTTTAAGAGCAAGGGTACTCTCCTCGGGTTTGGAACAAGGAAATAAAAATATCTACACACACACACACACACACTCACACACACACACACACGATGATGGGGTAACAAGGACAGGGGAGTTAACTCAGGAACCAGAAGGAATATTTGTTAAGGAAAGAATGTTAATTTCACTTAAAGACTTTACTTTGACTTAAACAAGAAGATGGATTTTTTTCCCATTGAGATTAAAGCATTTTATAATTAATACTATGGCTCCCTTAGACAATTAAACCCCATTCAATTTAAGTTTCAAACTTAACTTCACATTTAATAGAGATAAGCAGTGTCTTGCCCTTTCCATTGTGATCAGATTAGGAATCACAAACTTTGCTTAAGGACTAGCAGACACCCAGAGAAACAGAAACGGCACCCTGAAATGACTCCAAACTGAACCTCAAAAGAAGCCCAACAAACAAACAAATAATAATAATAATAATAATATATATATATATATAGAAAACCTCAAACCCTCAAGCCCCTCTTTGTTTTCTCAGTCAATTCCTTGACTTTCTAGGCTTTAATTGTTTGTGTTTCTTTATTTCTCCAAGTCCTGCAGCATGAAATAAGCACAGGAGAAAAACACAGCGAGGGAAATGTCAGTTGGAATCCTCGGAAGAA